ACATCATTGGTTAATTTATTATTATAATTATTGTTTTTTGGTTCAGATAAATCTTCGTGAAAAAACTCTACGAACTTATGTTACAACCCAATATTAAAATTTTACACAGGAGTTTCGGATGGGAGCTGAGTTTTGGCTTGCCGTTATCGTTTTCTCCGACCAATATTCAGCTTTCTTCCAGAAAATCTCGATCCTAGGGATTGATTAGCACAAGAAGTGAAATTATCGAAAAGTTAGAGAAAGTCACTGCAAAAACTGACTCCATGAAACGGAAGTGGCAACATTTAGTTCATTTCCGTAATTCGCATAGGGCATTTAGGCACTCAACAAAAAAAAATCCGGGTATAAATCGATCGTGCAGGACCTCTTTTTTAGAATTTGGTGCCCTCAGTAACCTGAATCTCAGAAAAAAAAATTCTGACCATTATTTGGCCTCATGAAGCCACACCATTAGGTGATAAAAATATTGAAGCTTTTTAAGGTCTCAGACTGTAGGGGGATGCGTGGCTCATCAATTTTTTTTCAAATGGAGATCTTGTTTTTTTGTTTCCTTATCTTTGGATTTTTAACTTTCTTTTTATTCCCATTTTTTATTCCGAGCGGTTTCATTCAGATTATTTCCTGTGACTGAAAATTTTATCGTTCTTTTTAATGTTTTTTAAACGTTTTTGTTTTTGTTTTTTGAAATGTTTTTTATAAACGGGTTTTTTTGTTTTCACAAAGGTGTCTAGCCGATGTATAAGTCAGTGCTTTTATCCTCCCAGGGAAGCCTGGTACCAGTTCACCGATTTCCTAGAGATGGGAGGCAGGGCTGGCTGGTCTAGGTGGATCTCGACCCAGGATTCAATCCACGGACCATGCATGCGTGATAGTGAGCCACATGCCAACAAGCAACTTTCGCCCTAGTAATAAGATGCTTGCGCATAATTGATATGCAAAACGTGAAATTTTGAAAAAAGAAGACAGGGGTTAGGGGTAGATTTGAAAATTTGAGGGAAGGTGTCCTTGAATGATCATTCGACAAAGTTGAAGGATATTTATTGTTCCAAATGCCCCTTTGCTCAAGAATATACTCTTACCAAACCCCCCTCCTCCACTCCGGTCAACAGCGTTTTTGTGGCAGTCGGGAAGTAGGAGGGCCTTGTTCAATATCTAAGGAGTCACTCCTACTGAGCCTATCAAGAGAAGGAATTGAATTGAAAAGGTAAATTACGGTTATCGGCATGACTAAGACCTAATCACAGCCACTGAAATGGCAGAACAGTTTTTCAGAAGTTAGTATACGTGGCTCATTCTCCAAAGCGTGAAGAACCCTGTATAGGAAATGTGTCCAGTGCTGACCAGCATTCTGCCGAACAGCTGTTCCTATGTGCTACAAACTTTCTTATATTCTCTGGTTTGCTGCTGCCATTGCAATAGGCATTGCATGGAAAACCGTCTTCAGAGAAAAAAAAATCAGTACGATTAGCTACTCAGGAGTACAATATTCAATAGAACATTTTATTCATTTATAACAAATAGATATATCACATTTCAGATGAGATGTTTGTCTTCTCAATGTATTCTTCAATGCAGCAACTTCAACGTGACCCTGTAACACAATGACATTCATTCATGAACATCATAAAAATAGATAATATCGTATTAATCATGTACATAAACATTTTAATTGTAAAGTCGAAGGTATTGAGGTTTGTTGCCGGCAAGAATCAATAATTAATTATTCTCCTTTGCTGAAGGTGTTTGTGGGCGGTGCAAGTGAGATGGGCGGCGTCTGTGGTGTTAATTGAAGCACTACATCGCCGCAGAACAACAATGCACTATAAAACCGATACACAAGTGAAGGTTTGGGCAGAGTTTAAAGATTCACTCATCTCTAAGGGTTTTTCTTCGGATAATGTGGTATGATTCAATAAAATCATTCTCAATTTCAATCAGAAAACGATTTTTCTGTTCTAAGCTTACCATATTCCTAGAGAAATGGGGATCGAACCCTCTAGAAAAATCTCACTCAAGTACTATTGCATTCACTTTTCCATGACCATTCTTTGAATGTATATCATGTAACCTTCCTGTAAGAGAGTCGGAGAGGTTCTTTTGTTAAAGGAGGTTTTAGTATGCCAAAATGGGACTAGGGAAAGCAGTCCAGCATTTGCGATTTCCTTCCAGCACTCATATATAAAAATCTAATACTAAAAAGAACTACCGTTAACTGTATGACAACAAATATACTAACAACAAAAGAAATCAAACTATATTACTGCTGTAATTGTCGATAAGGTGCTGGAACTACGCTTTTCATGAAGGTGTTCCCTGATGTCTACTGGTATACCCAGGATCGCCCCTCCCCATTGACTTCACGTTCAGTCGGTACTAAGCGTATCTTCGTCAAACTAATTTTCTGCCGATAAAATTGATAAAAAGTGCTTTAGACTTGTACGGATTCCTAAAAAACTTTAGTTCCACGTTTCATATCTATAGAACTCAAAAAATTTTTCCATCGTTCCATGAGTATCTGAGTTCTACTCTACTACGTAGGATTGAAACTTGATAAACATGAGTTGCTGGGCTTCTAATCTAATGATGCTCGTAGCTTAGAGCGACCACTAAGCCGAGAAAATCTAAAGCTTCTTATCATCCTGGTGAATCTCTTCTGATGATCCCCCAGAATTTGAGATGCCTTTTTGTCTCGTGTTGATCGACTTAGACGCTATCCAAATCCTATTGCAAAATTCGATTTCGTCATTGCGGACCAATAATGGCTAAGAATCCTCTCGTTCTTGAAAAGCAACAGCAGTAGCAGCAACAATTTTATTAGTACATTAGGGTAATCCACTCAGTTCACTCAGTTTTCAACAACTAGTTACTTCTTCCAACAATTCTGTTTGCAGAAAGTGTCTGTTTCAGGAGATTCGTTGCAAGAAGTCAAGAAACTTACCAGATAAAACAAGATATTTGGTGATCAGCAATAAATACTCACCTTATATAAGTACCTCTGGTTGAGAAGCAGCAAGTAGACGACCGAATGTTTCTTTGTACAGCATCGGTCCAGATGCTTTCTCCGTCGTTATGCAAGGTGTGCCATAATCTGTCTTAGCACTTCGTCCACATAGATATTTACAGAGCGTCTCTTTGAAACTCCGTGAAAATGTCACGTAGATGATGAAGTTGAAACTGAATATTACTTTGAGTGAATAAAATAATTTTTCTACTAATTAAAAGTTTTTCAGAAAAAAAAAACGATGAAAAGAGGCATTCACAGAGGGAAATTGTGGGGGAACAGAGAGAGAGAATAGAACAAAAAGAAAGGCCTCTTATTTGTCTTGCCGGCTCAATTTCACTGTTTACTTCGTGGGCCCCAAATGACATTAAGGTTTAATGCAAATAGAGTACTAATTGTCTCTCGACGAAATCAATACAGTACCCTTCCCAAGTGCGGAATTAGATTCGAGGACGTATGTGACTCAGTGATCATTGGTGGGTTGCTAGCGATGACCAATCACAGGCGTCGCAAGCAGCGAGAGTTCAGTAGGTAGTAGTGCGCATAAAACCGTCTTTCAAGAATAATTTTTTCCCTATTTCGTAATTTAATTGAAGTAATTTATTTCTGTAGATGACATTTTCTGTCGCTTCGTCCTGAACCTAGACCTGGAGTCAGTGCTGTTTCCCAAGAGTTGTGCTTTTTTCTTAAGAGGGCGGGACCCTACGCCCCTCACTTTGGTATCCTGACGTACCGAAGGACTAGATGGCAATTATGCCAACAAAAATTATTTTGCTATACCTATGGACAAAACAAATACAAACAAAAAATTCAAAAAAATGGTCCATTCACTCGATGTCCATTCCGAATTTCAACGGTCAAACTGAAAATCCTTACCTTGAGTTAAAAACGACAAGTAAATTCGAGAGGTCAACTATGTAGTTAATATATGGCCCAATCGATTCGATTATTCTATCTTCGAATGTATTCAATAGTAGAGCAGCTACATTACAAGCGATAAACAGGAGTACAACCAAGATCTGGAAGTAATTGAAGACTTGTCAAATTCATAGTATTTCACTTTATCAAAAAAATACCAGTGATATCGTATCTCCAGCACTTGTTCCTCCAGCACCAAATATTGATGCGCCTAAAAATCAATATATCGATCTTACGTTGCCTTGAGAATGAGACGATTGAATAACTTACCAATTATGAACGTGTTCAATATAACCAGTATTATCAGAGGGCCAACAGCTAAGAATATGGCATACATATACTTGTAATAAATTTCTTGATACCTGTAAATTTGTTTTTTTAAATTTTCGGAACTTTATCAAAATCGAGCTATCATGGCTTCGGGTAGTTGAATCGCTCGGAGCTGATCGACCTATTTTCGCGGTTGCGCCATGAATTCAAATCCCTCTGTTAGAAACGACTGTGTGTGATCTATCGGGTGCAATAAGGGGCCTGATTACTAAATTACAACCCTTATTTCTACTATATACTGGCCTAATCATGGGACCCGATCGATGGAAAGCTTTGCGGTTTTGAGCTAGGCCTGGTCGCGATTTGATCTGCTGACAGTGAGCAGGCTAGCAGCGCCACGTTCCCTTGCGCTACCTCTCTCCATTATGAATCCAGTGCCATTCAAAACATCGTTGCGATTCTGACTAGGAGGTGGATAAGGATGCCTCAAGAAGCCATCTTCTACCAATTAACGGCCTATACTTTTTGTGTAATGATGAAAATGATTGACTGAAAGGTGAATATCACTTACATCTCGTTGTACCTCATCGTTTCAGGGCAGACCTCCCACGAAGACCCCCGTAGGGTTTCGTGATAACAGTCAATAACAACGGCTTCAAAACAATGAGGAATATTGTAAAGAACAGCAAATATAAAGACGAAAGCAATGCAGCGACGAATAAACGGCGCTTTAGCTACAGATCTCTTTACATTGTCCGGGAGGCAGACCTAAATTAGCAGGTAATGAGAGGAGCAACTGGAAAATCAATTATGTTAGATAGCAATAGTAAATAATAAGAGTAAATTGGATAATTATTTTTAATTTATTAACGAATGATTCTTTTGAAATAAAAATGAAATGATTCGTTTTGCTTTTGATTTTTCTATTCTATTGGTGATGGTACTTTTATACTGCCACGTTATTCTTCTTTTCCTTCTTCTCATTATTGGAAAGAGGAGCTCATGGAATTTTCCGTTAAGCGTGGCAACTTTCCGAAGAACTTTCACAGAAATCACTTGGCTGTGTGATAGAGTAAGTTTTAGGAGTTCAGTCTTTGAGGAACATCCATAGTGACCTTGATTTCATGATTGTTTATCTCCATTATAAACAACTTGCTTCATAATGATCAGCAACCTACGGTATCCAGGACCTATGGGATGTAAAAGTCTGACAGAAGCGAAAAAATATGGATAATTTGACTACGGGAAATAATCGAGGTAAGTACAGAAGAACTTATGCTCAGAGTTCATGATATAATTGTAGGAAGGCTATACTACATGCATTATATAAGTCAAAGTTTCCGGCGCCAATCGTTCCTGTTTTTTTTAGGGTGCGCCCTGCATTCG